ACCATAACAATATATTTTAAAAATTTTAGAATAAGCTTTTTTCTTAACCATTTTTAAAGACATCAGTGGTCGTATTATCAACAAGCGCAGTTTTGTGTCACGAATATTTTCTCCTAGATGAAAATGTCGATTTTCCTCATTTCTTTATTTTTACGTACCTTCAGTCCCATTGTTATTCTGACTTTATTATTAAGAATTGAATTCTTACTATTTAAAAAAAAAACTCTCATTCTTTAAACAATGTCTCATTCCCGGAGACAAAAATATAAATTCTGGCAAACTGTTTTGCATTGTTTTCAATGTTGTAAAATCTTATCTGTTCAAATAATTCAATGTATTTAATAGTGGCGGTTCATGATCTTTTTAAATGGAGGGACACAACTCTCATTTCGCCTTGAACATTTTTTTTTATTAATAAGGGTGGTTCTCTCTCAAATTTTCATTACAATTTTATTGTCGTAAGAGAGAGGTTAATTCTTTTATTAAATATTCAACTGAATTCATTATTTTTATTTAAAATTGAATTACTGCTAGCATCACGGTTCAAAGAGGACCCGACTTCAGCTAAACACAGGAACTAGAGGCGCGGTTTCCATGGCAACGGTGTATACAAAACGTCTAAATGAGTCATGATTTGGTCTCGGTCTCCGCTTATAACATCTGTAAATATAAGTTTTGATACATTTGATACAAAAAGATAAAGAAATTAATTTTGATAGTTACGACACAAATTTCCGGATAAATTTTTAAATATTGAAAATTACTGTTTTTCTATGTCAAGTGTGTTTGTGAACGTTGTAATTTTTGGCACCAGCCGCCCCTGGTATTTAATACATTTAAAGAAATTCTGAAAAGTTTAATTAGAATCCCTGTAGCCATTGATCTATTCCAGGATTTTATTTTCTGCTAAGAATAGTGCATTATCCACGACAATATTTTTTGGAAATTTTGAAATAAGTGTCCTTCGAAACCATTTTTAGGGACATCAATGGTCGTATTATAAACAAAAACAGTTTTTGTCACGAATATTTTCCTCTATAAACGACGTTTTCCTCATTTTTGTATCTTTATATATCTTGAGCCTCAAATTTTTTTTGAGTTCATTATTAAGGCTCCTGGAAAGTATACAAGTGTATAGTCGATTTCAGAACTCAGACAGTGACAGATTCTAGGGTTTCTCCACCGTCCATCGTTTGAGAGATGATAAGTTTAGGCGAACGGAGTTCTGAAATAGACTACTTATATACTTCCAGGAAGGTCAGGACAGGTCAGAAAGTGTACAATGGTTGCAGGTGTGCTACCTTTCTAAGAAAAATGTACACTTCAACCCATTGTAAGAGCAGGTAGCTCGGCTCCCTTTTTGGTTATAAAAGGACCGCATTTGTACAAAATTTCATCTGTTGTATTGTGTCCGTTGCCAAAGTAATAAGTTCCATGTAAATAAATCAACCAAAGAATATTTTTTTTACTGGAGAGATAAATTTCTAAACTACCGGACCGATTGTTGTCTGTTTTATATGTAGGTATGTTATGAATAGGTATATAGGTATCAATCATGTAAATGGTAAAACGATTACCAAAATTTAACTAGTATCTCCACCAAAGATGTGGTGACGTACCTAGGTAAATGTTATAGAGAAGTATTTTATAAAAAAACATGCTCGTGTACGTGGTGTATGAATCCGCCTTGATTGTTACCCTAGGTATTCAGATTTTTACAAAAAAAGAGAACCCATTTCTATGTGAATTTTAAAACCAACTTTTTCATGTGGAAAACCGTTCGACTATATAGATCAAAGTCAAACAACATGACAACAAATATATATTTCAAAGAAATTTTTGGCCCAAACATACCTAGGTTCCCATCTAGTGTACAAGAACAAAACTAAATACCTACATATGTTTAACGAAATTAAGCTATTAAACAGTTTTTTTGATTCTAAACTAGTTTAACAGTTAATTTGCAAAGCAGTCGTTACAAAATTTCTAAAACTATTAAGAAATAGAAGCGCATTTCACCACAAATTTATTTCACTTATTGAAAAACTCAGCACTGAAAAGTCACACTAAGAAAACGAAAAAATTTAATTGAGAATTTGTTCTTTTTGTGCATAACTATGGCATCTGATGAAACAGAAACTAACGGAACCTTAATTTGTTTTTATAAGAACGTGTTTTTAAACGTTTTTTAGTTTATTGTTCTCACGCATAAAATTGTAGTGTATTTAAAATTATAATCGCAATAAACTGTGATTCACACTATAGCCGACCTAGGAACTGGTTCACTTCACTTGTTGTATTTATCTCAAATTTACATTATGCTGCTTTTATCAAAAACAAGAATCGAAACGTCACTTTCTATATTCATTTAGAAAATGAACTACTTACTCCTTATTTACCGCTAAGTATTTAGTGGTTTTCAAAAATGTACCTTACAGGAATTGACACTGTAGGTATAGCTTCATTTTTTGGGTAAATAATTCTTCATTTCATGAAACTGTATAAAATTACCTATTTATCCAATCGAATTTCTACACTATTCTTTCTTACATTTAAACAGTGTCGGGGACAGATACTTTTTGAAATTGTGGGCAATAAAACAACAATGAATCTTTTAAAATTAATGTTTCAAATGTGTTGCAGCGTACATTATTTTTTCTTGATGTAAGAATTTGATTTTCGCTGCAGAAGGAGGCATTGTTGTGTTAAATTTAAAAAATAAATATTTTACAGAAGTATTAATTCACATTTAATTTCAACACTAATTTGTACTAATTGAAAAAATAAATTGTTATGTAACCCGCAATTATTTTTTAGAAATAAATATACCTACCTTTAAACAAATGTTTTGCAATAAAAAATTAGTCCTATTTGATAACACACATACAACCACCGGCCCACCTGACCCGGGTGGACTCGGTATACACAGGTATAAAATGTATTGCCTCTACAAAGGTTTATTGTAAAATTCAAGGAATAGAGAATTATGGTTTATGGTGGGTATTTAAAATAGGATTATATCTAAAGATGGATGGTACCTACTGAAGGCTACAATATATAGTCTATTTCAGAACTCCGTTCTCCTAAACCATAAACCGGGGTGATTGTAAATCAACAATTATCACCTATTCTTGTCCAAATCGTACTCCGTTTTTACGACTGCACCCTATTGTGTATGAGTTAAATCCCTTCACAATGGATCCGTGCCGCAAGTGATCCATCGGTCATAAACCATCAACAGACCAACTGCTTGCGGTAATTGTCATTGCAGTGCCATAAAAACGGAGTACGATTTGGACCACTATACTAAGTAGGCTTTTACCCCGCTTATTTTGTTAAAGAACAAGCTGTCCCCTTCTTTTCGCAGGTAAGCGTTGAATCTAAGAGTGTCCTTGTCTTTCAGTATAGGGCAAAAGAATTGAAGCAACAAAACCATAGTGCACTTTTCAGCATGGTTGTATGATATAGCGATTTAGTCACTGCTTAAAGCAGTGACGTTAAAAATGTCGAAACACTGCACTTAAATGTACAAGTGAAACTGAAATAGCAGTTTTTTAAAGGTAACCTATTTCTTTAATATCCTTCTACAATTAATAAAACAAAACGAATCGTTTGCTCCATTGTAGCAGTGATTTTTGAGAATTATCTCTCAAGAGACCTACTGTTGAGAAAGCCTGGAATCTGTCAAAGTTTGGGGCAGTTTATGGCTTAAGCGAACGGAGTTCTGAAATAGACTATAGCACTATTGACTTTGTAGGAAATATAAAAATATTGTTATTCAGAGTTGTCGAGAATACTTTCGATTTGTTCGAACATTGCTTCTTTCTTGAATTACCAGATGAGGGGTTTTACACAGGTTACAGTTTGTGACGTTCTTTGGCTACTCTGCTGACTAGTGAGGATGGTAATATTACAGCCATCAAACGACACGGTGAATCGTTTAGTTGAAATTCAAAATCATTAAATTAATTAAACTGATATTGTAAAAATATAAACTAGTGTAAGATATTGTAAATGAGGATGAGAGTGATAAAGTATAGAATTTAATCAAGTAAATAAGGTTGTGTTTGTTAATGTCATTTTATAATTAAAACTAATAAGTAATGTAATAAATTCGTTCTTTTTCTGATGTAGGTATAATATCTTTTAGATTATAAGACTCTCATTAATACATCAATATAATTATGCCACCATAATAGATTGTTTGCGGATTAAACATTATTAAATGCAGTTAGAAATAAATCAATTTCCTGTATTATAGCTTCTGCTTTTTGCGGCTGATAAAAACCCCGTTGTAAAAATTTGATAAATAATAAAGTGACATCAACTATCCTGCTATTCCATATTTCATAGAAAACCAGCACGAAAAACCCGTCCAGGACGTCGTATCTGCATCATATCTATACCCCATCAATCAACCTTTCAAAAAAATGTCAAAACCCTGTCAATCAAAACCGCTTCTCTCCACATTTTTCCCTTCCCCATCATCGGACGTCGTTAATTAAACCAACCGTAAAAATCACGTGGACAAGTTCCGCTGCCATTGATAATAACACCTGCATTGCTTCGTTAAGATTCCTTCCCATTAAAAGCCGGCTCTTATTATTTTAGTGAATGACAACCCCCTCCACCCGTGAATAACTCCCTGACCATTTCCGCCCGATTATCAATTAACCCACTCGAAAAACACCTGAGCAACGTCCACATTCATCATTTCCCGGTGGTAGGGGAGCCCGGGTACGAAGGTCGCAATGTGCCGGATTAGCGCGCTTTCGCCCTCCGCAGATCAATCGAAGTCGGCGCTACCGCGCCGACCCGACAAATGACAGTCTAGCGGTGGGCGGACGCCGCCGCGGCGGTGGGGACGCCGGTCGCGGCTGATTGGGCGCGCGGTGACATCGGCGCATCGCCGGGGGCGTGGCCCGGCGAGGGGCGGCGCCAGCGCAGCATCCCTGAGAGAGACGCACGGGCCTTAGATGTATCACTATACCGACGGTAAAGTGCACGGTGACGGTCTCGAAACGTCGCGTTTGTGCTGTGTTTGTGTTGATTGTCCGCAGTCCGCTGGATTATGGGCCGCGTTGACAGGTAGGCAAATCTAGTTAGCTGCGACAAATACGAGCCAATGGCTGCTGACGAATATTAATTAGTGGCTGTTTGTTTTTCGCGGCTATCTTGATCGCGCGAGCTGCTACAGTGTCGTTAATTAAGTGGATTTCCATGCGAACAACAATAAACTGTGGAGTTTACTGTTCTACAGCGATAAAGACTGGCCTGGTTTGATTAATGATAATTGCTGGGGCTGTGGGTAGGTTAAGTGGAGGAGTGGGGGAAAGGTGTTGCTGTCAATTATAACAGTCATTTGTCTCATTTTACATATTTTAAGACGGCTCGAGTTGCGCCAGAGCGGAGTATATTTAATGCGGACTTATTTACAAGTTAAGTGATGTTTGACAGCTGTCGGGTGATTTGAATTAATTTCGCGTTTTTGTGGATTGGGTAGTATTACAAATTTTTAATTGTCGAGAGAGGACGGGGATTGGTTGGATTTTTGTTTTTATGGCGGAGATGCGAGATTAGAATATCGTAGGAGGTCGAAATCTAATAAAACATGAAAATTCAATGAATGGCAGCTGCTATATAAATTCCACTTTGGCAGAATATGGTGATTTTAAATGTCCGATTTATTTAAAAATCATTGTGCTCAAATTCATTTTCATAAATTATTTAACATATATATTACGGTATCACGTAAACTAATTCTGAATTTATACAGTGTGAGTCACATACCAGTCCGTTAAAATACCTAATATATTATCTAAATGTGCACTTTAAGATAGGTTTAACTGTGATGAAATTATTAATGATGTTTCAATTTAATTTTAGTTTTGCAATTCTTGAAATAAAAAAATAGGATAATTTTTTAAATATTTTATAGGTATAGTTCTGGTTTTGAAGTAGTGAATACTGACCAAACAAATCAAGGTGGGTTAATTTTCAGATTCCTAAAAATTTTTTGAGTTTGTGGTACTAACAATTTGCTGCAGAACTTTTAATTCCTATACAGTAAATTACCAAAATACCCTGAGGACTTTCATCCAATTTATGTATTACCTACTATATTGATGTGTTCATTATTTTAGAACGGCAACTTAGTAAACTTGTGAGAATAAAAACTGGATTCGAATATTTTTTTAATTATTTTGAAATTATTCATATATTAATTTTGACATTATGTTTAATATAATAAGGATTATTTGAAGAACAAAAATTATGCTATTGATCTCAAAAGATTCATAAGTAAACTTTTTTAACAGTTCACTATTTTTTTCCCATTTTATTTCATGCTGTTGTATTTTCTGTATAATCATTTATAAACGAAAAACACAACCTTAGTGTGCTATAACATCAATTCCACCTACATGCATTACTGTCGGGAGCCGACATATGTAGCTATTTTACATTTCGTATCTTTATTTATTTATTTTCTGCCCAGATTTACGTTTCAGAGACAACAATGAGCTTAAATGCTTTGTTTAGTTTCCAAGCACACGCATACTTACTTAACATCCATTACAAAGCCATGTATGTGCCTAAGAAATTTATATCACGTTTAGAACGTTATCGCTGGCCATAATTTAAATTCTATTAGAAATAAAACAAATGACATGAGCTAAATGTCATTTTCCTTATTTATCTGGATCATTATGTCGGCACGATAAATATGTTAGGTACACATACATATTTTAAATAATTGTTTTCTAATAACTGTGTGCTGACAAATATGGAGTTAATAACTTTTACAACTTTTTACTTGTAAGAGTGTAATAGGCTTGTGTGTTTGAAGAAATACTTACTGAAATTGTACAACAAAATCTTCTTAAGTGAAGGTAAATAACAATACATATTTTAAAATTACTAGGTACAATATGAATGTGTATCTGTATGTAACTATAAGTGAAAGGAACTTAAGTATTATTTTTTAAGTAGGGAGATGACTTTGACAAAATAGCTTTCCAGTAGGGAGCAGTGCAGGATTAATAGCTCAGAAGCTAGAACGTAATTTTATTTAAGAAAAAATACAACTTGTATCCAAAAGCATGGATAAGTTGGAGATTGTTATCTACCTATTGAAAGTACGCTATTGGCAATGTTGACGGATTTATGTATGGTGAAATTGTAATTTGTTCTAGTTAACATCATAAAAATTACACTTATTTCGTGCTAATCGGTTACACCGCGAAAATTATTTCAGTCCACTTTATTCTGACATTTCTGACCGGTGTACCTACAAAAGAAAAAATTCAGTTTAGAAAACATTTTTGCATTTTGGTGTACATATATTTAATGAAGATTATTGAAATAAAATTCACAAATAATTACAATCTTCCATCTTCGAGCACTTGAAAATTTTTAATTATAGTTAGCACTGCCTCAATATTCATTTATTTTCTTAAAGAACAAGTGACGAATGTTTCGTGTTAACAAGTTACTTGTGAAATAAAAAACCAAGTGGAAGTAATGAAAATTATAATGGTTATTAGAAGCATCACTTCATTACAAGAGTTCCCCCAGGCAAATTTTTGTTTCTTTTGAAAGCAAAAGAAAACATAAGAATACCTCTATTTATTGAAATTTTCTGTAACCACAGTAAGAAAATATTCAAAATGCCTTATTTACCATAAAATTCGGACAAAAAATTTATTGTAGCTCTATTTGTGTGAGCCTTAACACCATCCTGCTGAGAAAATCATAAACTAAGTCATCATCATCAAAAAATTGATTTAAAAATGGAGTTAAAATTTCTAATGGGTATATCTTGCAGCATTTATGTTTTCTGAAAATATCATTTATGTACCGCATTGCTAAAACATTTAGACGAAACCATCCACGCTCTGAAGTATATTCGGTTGCCTACTTAGGTTATAAATAAACGTAAAATAATAATTCTAGGGCCTGCTCCAAATACATTTTTATTGTACACCCGTCATATGTTTGTAAATGCTTGAATTTTTTGTTAAACTTGATCAGGAACTTTCGCAACAAACTAAAACACACAATTTCGATTACATTTACATTTTAAATACTCGAAAAGTACATTTAAAATTTTCTAGGAAAAATTGATGTAATTAAGAAAAATCAGAATACGGTGAACGAAAAAGACAGCAAATACTGAGTTTTTTTAATGCGAACGTACAAAATAATGATGCTTAAACTGTAAACTGTTTACCTGAAAAATGTAAGTACTACCCACGCACTCTCTTTAGTTATGTCGACTGTCATAAAACTCAGCCGTGTTATTTACTTACTAATGAGCTGCCAAGCGTGTCTTTTATTTTTTTTTACATTTAAAATAATTTTTATTAGCTAATATGTAATAAAAACAGTAAAATAATATATTTTCTATCTTTACAAACTTCTCAAATTTTTGTTTCTAGAAGCGAACGTCTAAAATTTAAACAGATGTGTGAAAATTTACAGAAATACACAATTCTCTTAACTTGCTTTTTATGCAGATGTTAATGCAGAAGCTCGCCTTTATGCTTACAATGTTGCTGTAATGTGCTAAGACTATAAAAACCGATGGCGTCGCATGAAAATGGTTCTGAATCCTCCATCCAGTGTTTTATTTCAAGATAATCATCAGATGTGGAATTAAATGAGTGTATATCGCATAACACACCTAATTGAAGTTACAAATCCGTTTAAAGCGCTATTTTATCAGGCTATTATTGTGTCTAAAAAGTCTTGTCGAGGGTATCACAGAAAAGCTTCGGCTTTATTAAGCTTTAATATACTTAATAATAATAAGGAAGTGTTTAACTTTAAACCTAACATAACTCTAAGAAGCTCAGTTTACTATTGTCTATCCTTATCATGATTCAGATTCTCATTATGAAACAATAATAGGAGGCCAAAACAAGTTCTTCAGTATGTCTATAAAAATTTTGCCATTTGTCAGGGGTACATCTAGAAATGGCCTCAAGCCATATATTTGCTACCTTATCTGGAAACGCCATTTCAATAGGATTGTATTGACAATGGTAGGTATGGGGGTAATCTAAGGACTTCATGACCATGTTCTCTCAATGTTTCATCAGTCACGTAACGTTGGCCTCCGTTCGTACCAAAAAGTGTAATTAAATTCCAAAGTTCTTTTCTCGACAATTTTTCATCGAAATTAACAAAGTGATTAATCAGCCATCGACGTCAAGTTAGAAAGAAACACAGATAGTCATTTGCTACCCTCGAGAAGAGTACAGCTGTATATTTTAGTTCTTTACCTTTGTCAGTCATATTGTACCACTGGTGGTACATACGTTAAATGAAAATAATTGGGGATAATTTCGTCACTAAAATAGCTTGAAGCCGTGAAATTGAAAAACAAAATTATCCAAACTTTCTGGTTTCAGTTAAACATTTAGTGGTAAATCACTACGAAAATCGTGTTATAAGTACATTTAAGAGGAATACAATTTTTGCCTTCAAACTAGGAGAATGTTTTAATAATGGCCCAAGAAAATAGAAGAAAATTCACAAAGAGAAATCTTGGGTTGCAGAAAAAATCAGTGTACAAAATTTGGACTGTTTAAACATTCACTGAATAAAACATCTGTTGACTAAAAATGAAACTATATTTAAACAAAATTAAATTGATTTAATTACATTTACCTACAATGATATTTCGAAATTACAGGCTAATAACAATTTGGCAATTAATGATCAACGAACAAAGCATCTGTCATTCCTAAACTCCGACTTTCCTAGATGCACCCCGTTCTTATAAAATTTTTCTTTTTATTTTAGGTTGCTCTTTCTAACTCGAAATAAAGAAAAAAATGTTAACATTGTTAACTTAATATTATGACAAACTGGCAATCTATAACTTACAATTTCATGATTAACTTTCATTTCATGTAAATATAGAGTTTGAAATCAATATTTTTTCAGGAATTATCTTTTTCAAATTTTCAAAATTTGTTTTCGAGTTCTATCAGATATGTTAGTGAATTAACTTTAAATTCTCTTTAACAAACGAATTTCGTATAAAAGATAACAATTTTTTTGTAATAATTGCTTGTAGACAG